GCTACACATGGCCAGATTTCATTGTTTCTCATTGCCATGTAGTATTCCATGGTATAGATAAACCACATCTTCTTGATCCATTCATCTGTTGATGGACACTTAGGCTCTTTCCATGTTTTAGCTATTGTGGAGAGTGCTGCTATGAACATTGGGGTACATGTGCTCCTATGCCATCAGCATCTCTGTATCCCTTGGGTAAATTCCTAGCAGTGCTACTGCTGGGTCATAGGGGAGTTCTATTGTTAGTTTCCTGAGGAACCTCCACACTGTTTTCCAGAGGGGCTGTACCAGTTTACACTCCCACCAACAGTGCAGGAGGGTGCCCGTTTCTCCACATCCTCGCCAGCTGTATGCTATCTTTTAATTGTGAAAAGAACTCAAAATCTGAATGAATTGTTTACCTTAGCATTAAGCCCAGCTCACACAAAGCTACTTGAGCACTTTTTCCCCAAGGCTAAAACACTATTGGCAATACTAAATATTTTTATTGCATGAGACAATCACTACAATTAAAACAGAAGTTTGAGAATTGGACAAAAATTACAGAATGATAAAAAACACTGTCAGTTTTCTTCAACAAAAACACCCTTTCAATATCTTTGATACTTCCATAGATTAGCATCAGATAAATTCTGATAAATTCATAAGATTATGATTATTTTTATTTTTTTATTATTTTGATTACTACTATAATTATTCAACCTTAACTGTTGCCAGTTTATACCTATTTATGTGACTCTAAGTTCTTAAATATTCTGACACAATGAAAAGAATTCATTTGATGTTGTGGAGACAAAATTACCCATTCTTCAATTGAGAAACTATAATTTTCAATTATACCTTATTAGCTCAATATTTCCTTAAGCCTTGTATTTTCTGATTGAACTTTGGCTAACAGAATCATGCTTTTTTTTAATTTTTGTTTTTAGATTTTTTTGTCTTTGAGAGACAGAGACAAGTGGGGGAGGGGCAGAGAGAGAGGGAGACACAGAATCTGAAGCAGGCTCTAGGCTCTGAGCTGTCAGCACAGAGCCCGGCGTGGGGCTTGAACCTACCGACTGTGAGATCATGACCTGAGCCAAAAGCCGGACACTTAACAGACTGAGCCACCCAGGCGCCCCCAGGATCGTCCTTTAAGCCCGAGAACACCAACTTTCAGTAGGCTGTTGGTGAAGCTCTCTGGGAAAGAGGATGTTGACAGAGGTAAAATGTGAGACAAAAATAAGTAAAATGTAGTTTTAAAGAAAAGGTTGTTAGATTAGAATTGAAGGCTAAGCAAGTCTGCAAGGATATAAATCCTTTTTTAATATTTATTATTTAATAATATTTGAGAGAGAGAGAGAAAGAGAGGGAGAGGGAGGGGCAGAGAGAGAGAGAAATCCCAAGCAGGCTCTGCACTGTCCGTGTAGAGCCAGACATGGGGCTTGAACCCACAAACCATAAGATCTTGACTTGAGTGGAAATCAAGAGCTGTACGCTTAACTGATACTCACAAGGATATAAATCTTAATCCATTTGTTGGTAGTGTAAGCTCTGGTGTCACACTTGTATCTGTTCTGTATGTTGTAACCAAATTGTACTTGCTGTACTAATTGTTAAGGAATCACCTTTAAAACACCCAGACTTCCAAAGTTTAAGGTTTCTATACTAATTAGTTGTCAGGGAGAGCTGCCTGAGTGCCTCTTCCTTTGGCACTGAATTAATGAGTGACTATATAACAGATTCATTTCTTTAAGAACAACATAGGAGACTTATTCTAGAATGCTGAATTTGCTATATAGTATTTGTGCTCTTTTAATTTTGCTCAGTTCTTCAAAACAGATAAGAATAGGGGTGCCTGGGTGGCTCAGTCGGTTAGGCATCCAACTTCAGTGCAGGTCATGATCTCACAGTTTTGTGGGTTCGAGCCCCACGTCAGGCTCTGTGCTGACAGCTAGCTCAGAGCCTGGAGCCTATTTCAGATTCTGTGTCTCCCTCTCTCTCTGACCCTCCCCTGCTCATGCTGTCTCTCTCTCTCAGAAATAAATAAAAAAACATTAAAAAAACAACAGATAAGAACAATGCAATTCAAATTCATTAATCATCAAGACATAACCTGTGTGTCTGAGGTTCTGAGCAGTATAGGAACCAGATTTTTAAGAGGTAAGAATTCTGATATTGCAGGGACTATAAGTATGTTTTTCTCATTCCTAAATTTCCTAGAAATAAGAGTTTTGTATAAGGGAATATTCTTTTCTGATATGAAAGTTGCTTTATTCTTAAAACTACATATATTATTCTTTACCCATACATATTCCCTGCTTCCCAGACATCTTCCACCTCCCTTTCAATAGACATCTTAATTTGGCATCTAATGGTTTAAAATAATTTTCATAATCTAATTTTGAATAATACCCATTTTAAAGCAGAGACAGTTTAGCAATAAACAAATATAAACACTTATTGAAATGTTTATTAAACCAACATAATAAGTCCATTTGTCTGAGAAAAGATGCAAAGTTGAGTTCCTGTGGGAAAAGATGACCTTTTAACTCCAGTTTTTAAAAATCCAAGCATGATAATCACAGTTGGTGTTTATGAACTTATTGGTGGGGAGAAAAACCAACTCTCTCAACTGAGATTTGGAGCTGAGAAAACTATCAGATGAAATGGCAGGAAGAAAAACTTATTTTATTAGAATTCTACTTTCTAAGAGGAAAACTAATACTGCAGAACCATTTAATGAAAACTTAGCATTATAGGGGTTCACATATCTACTGACATAAATATAACAATTTGAGATTGAAATCATTAACTGTCTTCAGGAAATAATGTATTTTACAAATTTTGCTGTTTTAAAGAACACTTAAATATCACACAGACACTAAAATCATAACCATGCCAGGGCAATTTTACCATTTTTAACATGTACATGAGGATCAAAAATCTTTAGTTATCTGGATGCATTGCAGGTAACAGGACAAAAGCAAATTTTTACTTTGGCAGGTGTTCAGTACAGTTACATGTCTAGCTCCTTTTAAGTACATCTGTCTGCTCAACTAATTAATACTACTGGATATTATTCCCTCAAAGCAAATGTCTATTAACCCTGTATCCTAGAAGAAGTAAAAAAAATAGTAACTAATGAAATGTAATTGCAATCTCATTTCCTAGAGATTCTCAGAATCCCTACTTCTGAATAGTGGCCCTACTGCTATTATAGAAATATTTTTCTTGAAAACTCCATTTCTCTATGGAATGTCTTTAGTTAGGAGTTTAAAGTCTTACAAAGAAACTGTTTATATAAAGAATGTCAACATTTTACTAAGCAAAAGATGCTTGCTTCATTTCCCACAAAAGCCAAACAGAAAACAATGCATTACTAATGTTTTCTATTTATTCATTAATAAAAAGTGCATAGTACAAGCCCTTTATCCCAGTCCAAGTACTCAGTAAAAGATTACAATAAACCCTGGATGGCACAGACATGATTTGTTTGGCATGATTTAAACATTTAAAAACAGCAATTAATATTTAGTATATCACATGACCACTTTTGCTTTTAACAAAGTAATCATCAGACATGGTAACAAATACATATGATTTTTCATTTAGAAATATTATGTTAGGATTAAACCTACTATTGCAACAACAAAAATTAAACCCGTTATGTGTAAACTCTTCATTTCTCCTTCAAGTTGCTATTTTGTGTCTTAAGTTGATGAGCTGGTCCAATTTTATCATGTTTATTTAGTGACAGACTTTAATTCAGAGTGATAAATTTCCAAGGTTCCTTTGAAAATATAAAAATTCAGTAATTCTATAAACACTATCACATCACATACCACAATGACACTAAAAGTAACCATGGAATAGCTGAACCTAACAGTTACTTTGGAAAATCTCTGCAAGTTGTTTAAATATGACTTGCTGGCCATGGGATAGTGCTTGGATAGATACATGATAAAATCTTTTACTATACACAGTTCCAATGTTAAATTTTTCCATATGGAAAGCAAGAAAACATTATTTTGCATAAGGGACATTAAATGACTCTAAAACAAAATAAACTTAATGTTATTTGTGGCATACTTATAAGAGCCAAAAATTAAAATGTGAAGCTTTAGCTTTCTTTTTTCCAGATTATTTAAAAATGATTGTAGCCACAGTTCAGGTGAATGTTTACAAGCCAAGTAATGACTAAGAGTGTGCTCAATAAGAAGGCCACATACAGAAGCTATAAGAATTAAAAAGAATATAAATTACTAGTTAGGTTAACAGGAATACTTTATATGCAGTAGTACATGATCTTTCTCAGGAATGCAGAGAAATTTTACAAGCAAAAAAACCAAAACTACTTCTCTAGGAGCTTTTGTTGCTAATTAAATAAATGGTCCATATAGTAAAGGTTAATATGCTAGATGTACTGTCAATTAAGTGTACATAACAGAAATGAAGAACCAGGAATAAGAATCTAGATTTGTAGGTCTCTAGCTAACACTAGACAGTCTGTTTCCAGGTCAAGGCCAGTTGGCTTCAACCAAAGCCAAGTCTCAATTGTTTGTGAGCCATAGATTCAGTAAATACATCAGTGTCTCTGCCAAAGATTGGCTTTCTAGCAGCTTAGAGAACAGACATAGAATAGATGTGTAAGCCTTCCAAGTCTAGGGGGCAAGGGCAGAAAAAGGAATGCTTACAGAGATTTAGCTCCATCCTAGGCCATTCCTGCCCTTTCTGCATTAAATACTCTAACAGCTATAAAGCTGGGAAGGTTTCTAGGCCCAGCAACAGGAAGAACCTTAAACCTATGGTGCTCAGTTATCCAAGATTTGACTTAACCTGTGTTATAATACCCTCCAATTAGCACGAAGTAACTAAGAGTAGGTTACATTATGTCAAGAAATTGAGCATCAAAGCCAAGATGCACAGAAGGAATGCAAGCAGTCAATACTGGATAATATAATGAATGAAGCCCTTAAAATGTGTATGGCCTAAAATGTAATCATAATAAAGGGGGGAAAATACCCTACAAGTGTCACATAATTGTATCAGAGACTATTAAACAGTACAATGATATAGAGAAGTTTATTAATTCATACAAGTAATTTCTCAGGTCGGTACAGTGAAAAGCTATACTGATCTGGGGGAAAAATCCTTACATCAATAGCAAAATATCTTCTAGCCCCCATAAGCCATCTGTAATCACTTGCTAAGAAGAAAAATCCCATAACCACATAGGTCATGCAGACTTGTTTTTTATGCCATTTGTATTCATTTTCTTTCAAACCGAGCAATGCAACCTTTTTCTTTTCATACATTTCAAAATTTTACTTATATTAATACTCCTCCTCACCCCAATCCATCTTATTACTAAACAAGAATGAAATAGGGGTGAGAAAAAGATCCTTGATTGCTTTTTCATTTTCCTCCTTCTCCCATGGAGTAAACCAAGAATTCATCAAATATTTTTTAAAGTAAGGATAAAAAAAGACTCAATTTTTTCTTCACAGAGAAAATAGAGTAAATAAGTAAATAGCATTCAAATATCAGTAACCAGATAGATCCCCAATATAGCTTTAAGATAGTTCCATTTAACAGGGAAGTGTTAGAACAGAAAAGAAGGTTCCTGAGAGGCACCCATTTAACAAATAAATTATAGCTTAAATTATTACTGTATAGAATATACTTGGCAAAGGCAGGAAGAATTAACTTTTTTCCTCCTTTCACAAACCTTGTAAGGCTATAATGGACTGTAAATCATCCACCATATTTAAATCATGTTTATTTAAAGTTCTCCTAATATTAGGCATTTTTACGGGAATAAAAAACTTAGTAAACAACAATTTCATTTCTTCTCCCCTCATAAGCCTGTTATAGTGGATGACACCAGATTTGTAAAATATTCCAAAGGCTGCCACAGTCCCAAGAACTAGAGAGAACTGCTACCCACAAATAAACTATCAAGGTAAATGTAAATACAGTGTGGTTCTAATATTTTTTCATACAATCTCAGACAACCCAAACAACTTTATAAATACCTTATGAAAAAAAGCAACTTTAAAACCTATCAAAACTATTTAAAATATTCAAATGCAGAGATCTCAAATTTCCTTCAATCAGGCCAGAAATCATAACAAAATCATTCAGTTACAAACAGAATGAGTGGAATGTTTAAGTTTAGGATAACCAAAAAAGCCCATGTAACTTTTTTTAATATAATCATTTACTCAAATATAAAAAAGGAATGGTGATAACACAGGAAGCAAAAATAAGCTTGCAAGTGAAATTTCTAGAAGCTCATGAAAACAATACCATCCATATTGCAGATGCAAAAGGAAACACAGTTCTAACGGGGTTAAGAGTACTCTGGTCATCTTCGTTCATTTGGTCGTGCAAGGTGTTAACTATTTTCACTTCCCATATCACAAAGTTAGTCCACGGGAGGGGCTGGTGGATCTTGTCCCTGGCATTAGAAAGACACATTATGCAACTGACTTCTTAAATCCCAGTGCAACGAATCTAACACATATGGTAAGCATTGAGTAGCATGCCCCCCACCCTCCAATCCCTAATCAAAAACTTATTTGAACCTTTTATATGTTTCTGCACAAGGAAACAGTACATTAACACTGTAATTCACCAGTGTTTGTCTCATCCCTCCCTGTGGCGTGGAAGAAAGGAAAATTCTGTAACAGTAGTACCATATGGATGAAACTGTTCTCCCTGACAGCTCCAGAAGTGATACTTAAACCAATAAAAGTAGCATCATCTCTCTTGCTAAGATGACCAAGCTCAGTACAACCAAAATGAAGCTAGAGATTTTCGTTTCTCACTAGAGAATGTCAGTGAGGAAGCATGTGGCTCCAGATGCTCTTTGGCAGGCATGCTATGACCACAAAGGGAGCCCACTTCAGAATGAAGTTGATGGTCGGAGGAAAGAAAGTAGGTCTTCAAGGATACTGTTAAACAATCTAAACAATGACCCTACAACCTCTCTGGATTTTCTAATGTGTAAACCAATAAAGCCACTTGTTTAGACCAGGCTAAGATGATTTTGTTACTTGCAAGAGAAAGTTTTTGAACTGTAAAGGAAAGATCAGTGCTTTCTACTTGAAATTAGTATGTTTTCTTTCTTATTCTTAGAAGAGTGGGCTACTCTTCTAGAACTGCTGGCCTACAAGGAAATAAGGTTTAGGGACTATTATCTTAAATCTCTGTCAATTTTGATGGCTTCTAAACCAGCTTATTAAGTTGAATCTTTAGCTCCAAAAGTTGAGGAAGTTGCCCTTTGATATGAAAGTAATAAAACTATGCATAGAAAGTTAGAAAAAAGGCTGAGGAGAAAGGACCTTATCAAGACAATATACAAGCTATTTTATGGATACCTTCCTCTCCTTGAAAAAATAAATTTAAGGCCCTTTGTATTGTGCTAATGATGTTTCTTTCTTAAAACCAGCATGGCTACATATCTAAATGGTCTAGTCCTTAAAAAAAAAAGCACTGATCAATTAACATTCTGCATTTGCTTTCTCCTATGTAAGAAATTAGTTTAAATAAACTTCTTTCTAATATTGACAACACAAGACTGTGGAAAAGAAGAAATTATTTTAGCAATTCCATATGGTGATGGCTAGAGAAGGAACTTAGTGGGATAATTTGGTGTTCAACAAGTGAATTCATCATGGAAATATTTTTAAAGAGATAACATCCAAGTCAAATAGAAAAGAAAAAATATAAATGCTGGTTCTCAAAACAGTTAAAAGGAATTCTTCAATGGAGTTTCTTCTATTAAAGATAGCAGCACCAAACATTCCCTGTTGGGTCACTTTATCATATTTTTTACCTGGCAGGTTCTATAAATGGTAGTAATCAGGACTATCAAGATTTATCAACATGAATGATCCTATCTCTCCATTGCTCGCTCAGTTGATCTATTATAATGCAGAACTGGAAGAGTTTAAGAGAAACTGGAGAGGAAAACAAAGAAAACAGGATTTAGCCAGATAGGCTCAGGGTTTCTAGTGAATTTAATAGCTAGGACAGAAGGGGAAAAAATGAAGTAGAGGAAAAAATGTGAACTATACCTAGTAAGAGAATTTAAAGAGCTGGAACCATGAGAAGCAAGGGACTTGCATGAGGAACTGAGGAGTGGAAGACTGAGATCTGAGAAGTACTGCTGTGGATTATGATGATCTGGATCATTTTCTATGTTAAGAAAGACTAGAATGTGAGTAAAGATTGGAATTCATTTTACAATTCTTTTTGGGCTACTGGTCTGTGCTTCTCTCTCTATGTAACTCCACGAAGATTAAGCCATTTGGGGGTCACAAGATTTACAAGGACTACACAGAAAGAACTTATTCCATGAGTTAAATCTTCCTTTTGCTAAATTAGATATTTCAGTCAAAACAAACTCATACCATTCCCAGGCCATACCTGCCCCTACCCAAATGAATTTCTAGTCCACAAAACTTACATTATGAGGACTGGTTGGCTTTCCAGTAAGATTGGATCCTCTTAGATTAGGAGGTCTCAGTAGAAACAAGATCACTGCAATAACCATCCAGGCCATCAAGATCATGGTAATACTGATGCCATTATCACCAGAAGGTCCTGGTACTAAAGATAAACAAAAATATATTTGCAACAAAAACTGTAGCACGGTTATAATATTGTTAGATAATGTAAAGAGAAATTCTAATGTTTAAATGACATTTTCAAAAGTTGTATTAATATGAAAAATTGTATAAAAATTTTAAGAAATACAATTGCAAAATATTACATATTGAATTTCCCTTTCTTCTTATAAGAAAATCTAAATGGTAAACGGTACAAAATAGTGATAAGACAAAACCTATTAAATGAGGATTTTAATGGATAGTGGTTCTTAATATTTTGATGTGATAGAATCCTTTGAGAATTTTAGAAAAATTAAGGACTCTTTCTACTATAAGAATACATGTGTACACACTCAATTCTGCATATGATTTGGGAAGGTTCATGAACCCACAAAGCCACCAATCCCTAGATATACTGAGATCTACAAAGCCCAGGTTAAAACCACCTGATGTACAGTAAAGACACTCTACCTCAGGACAGGAAAATTCTGCATTTTAATTACAAAAGCAGCATGAAAAAATAAGAGTATAAGGAAAAGGGACCATCTGAATTATATAATATATAAATTAAAGATCCCTTGAACAGTATTCTCAAACAAAGAGATAGTAATTTGGCCTTCTTTTTTGACAAAAAGAAGTTGGATTCAGATATAGATATTTTAAAGTCTATATGCATTTATCAAGAGAGAGAAGTCAGGGCTTTGTGTGTCGGTAATAGTTTCTCTCAGCTCTTTAGGCAGCCATATCTTATTTAATTCATTATTACAAGTACCTGGCCCATGGTATGAGCCTAACAAATTCCTGCTAAATAAAACAGACTTATAATTGATGTATATTAGAGAACTCAGTTGTCAGAAATGAAAATTACTGAAGATAAATAAATAAATTAATTAATTAATTATTTAGAGAGAGAGTGCACACATGAAGGAGGGGCAGAGAGAGAGGGAGAGGATCCCAAGCAGGCTTCACACTGTCAGCACAGAGCCTGATGAGGTGGTCAAACTCATGAACCATGAGATCATGATCTGAGTCGAAATTGAGTCAGACACTTAATCAACTGAGCCACCAGGAGCTCCTAAAGGGGGGTGGGGGGAGAGAACGAGAGCATTAGCAGGGAAGGGACAGAGAGAGAGGGAGAGAATACCAAGCAGGCTCCGCGCTGTCAGCACAGAGCCCTACACAGGGCTTTATCTCACGAACCACGGTATCATGACCTGAGCCAAAATCAAAAAGTCAGACTCTTAAAGGACTGAGCCACCCAGGCCCCACATAAGAGATGTTTTTAAAAAAAAAAAACAAATACTATTGGGGTATCTGGGTGGCTCAGTTGGTTAAGTGTGTCTCTTGGTTTTAGCTCAGGTCATGATCTCATAGTTCATGAGTTCAAACCCTGCATCAGGATCTGCACTGACAGTGTGAAGTCTGCTTGGGATTCTCTGTCTCCCTCTCTCTGCCTCTCTCTCTCAAAATAAACATTTTTAAAAAGCAAATACTATTATTTTTATTACTAAATAATAGCTAAAATTTGAATTGTTACTTTGAACCAGGTATCTCTTAATCCTTTTAACAATGTTATTTTATGGTAAGTACTATCATATTTTCATTTTATTGATGAGGAAAATTGGGGAAAGGGTGGTTAAATCCTACTGTCATAGAGCTGGTATGTGGCAAAACTGGGATTTTAATACAGCTGGTGTCATTCCAGAGCCTGTGCTCTTAACTAACCTCTTTGCCATGTCAGAATCTCTGACAATACCACAGAGTGAGACAGAGTCTGAAAATTAGTAGTCCTGTGAGTAATAAAATTAGAAAATACAGATTTAAAAAGGATTTTGATGAATAAGCTTATAACTAGAGGTTAGGTAAAACTAGATTATTTTTAGATTAAAGTTAAAGAAAGATAACTGTGACTTCTATACATTATCACTTCTTATAGTGCCCTCCGTCTCAAAGATAAAATGCTAGATTAATGGTATAGACAAAAGTGTAACCCCAATGTCAATTCTTATAAATTATTCAATTTGGAAAGTTGGTCTCTTACTTTTATTTTATAGGTAATCGCTACATCTAGCTCGAACTTACAACCCTGAGATCCAAGAGTTGCATGCTTCACCGACTAAGCCAGCCAGGCACCTAGGTCTCATTTTTTGATAGTCTTTGCACATAAAATATTCTTCAGGGAGTTGAACCTTGGATCACTAATTTACTAATTCATGTCTTCTTAGACATGAAAACGCCTATTCTCACAGTCATGTTATGGTTCTCAGTTCCCTGAAACTGTCTCCTGGCTTGGCTCTTATTCCTGTCTTCCTTTCCTGCATACTGCTGCCAGAAAAGTCTGCTTAGAACACTGCTCGTAGCACATCTGCTGACCAATCCAGTGACTTACTCTCTGACTAGTGCTTCAACTCTGAACTCATCAGCCTAGCCTTTCTTCACAGGATTTGGCCCTACTCAATCATATTAACTCTAAATATTTCTCAGAAAAAGCATCCTCTTGCTCTAGTCAACCCCATTATCTTCATCCTTCTTTAGCCAGTGGTTGTCTGGTCTGCCTATGCATCAGAATGGCCTAGGATGACAGCAATACCACAGATTCTATGGCGCCACCTCACACCATCTAATTCGGGAGCGGCTCAGGGATGGGGTCAGGAACCAACAATATTTTAAAAGCTTTCCAAATGAATATGATGCAACAGTTCAATGCTAGTTTGGCTGACAGCATTTGCCAATTTTACAAACTCGGTCCTGGGGCACTCATGATTTTTTTCCCTGTCCAGCATGTGCTTACAAATAACCTCCATTTATTCACCTACATCACTCTTTTCTATAAAAATCTCCATTTTTGAGGTGCCTGGGTAGCTCACTCAGTTGAGTGTCCAACTTTGGCTCACGTCATGATCTCACAATTTGTGGGTTTCAAGCCCCACGTCTGGCTCACTAGTCTCAGTGCAGAGCCCGCTTCGGATCCTCTGTCCCCCTCTCTCTGCCCCACCTCTGCTCACATTCTCTCAAAGGTGAATATTTTGTTTATTCACCTTTGAGAGACAGAGAGAGAGAGAGAGAGAGAGAGAGAGAGAGAGAATGAGCAGGGGAGGGGTAGAGAGAGAGGGTGACAGAGAATCCGAAGCAGGCTCCAGGCTCCGAGCTGTCAGCAGAGAGCCCAGTGTGGGGCTCAAACCCATGAACCATGAGATCATGACCTGAGCTGAAGTTGAACGTTTAACTGAATGAGCCACCAAAGCGTCCCAAAAATGAATAAACATTTTTTTTTTAAATCTCCATTTTCTCAGTCCTTTCCTTCCTTTCTTCTCTGGACTAGTATAGCATTCCTAGTTTGAAGGAATGGTTTCTTATTTGTTCTAATTAGGACATTAACTTTTTAAGAACTGAGACCATATCATAGCTGTTTGACTCCATTACTTCTTAGCTATGTCATCTCTGTGCCTCAATTTCTTCACCTGTGAAATGGAAATATTACTATTTTCCCAGAGAGCAGTTATGAGGATTGAAATGATCATACATAAGGAGCAGTTAGTACAATGACTGGTACACAGAAGGTATTCAATAAACATCAGCCATTACCAGTATTACAAACACAGAAAAGTCTGACTGCAGATATATCCTGGTGTGAATAACCAGACTGGATAAGGTGCTTAGGTGGGAATGGAAAAGGGTCAAATACAAATAGTATTAGGACGGAAGAAGCAAAACATGTGGGATTGACTGGACTAACAGTAGAAGGGGAAAGAAAAGAAGTTAAGGATGCCTCTAAAATTTCTGAAGGGTAGTAATGTGTAGTAAAATGTCTCTACTTAAAAGTCTAAAAAAAAAAAAAAAAAAAGGTTAAATGGATATCATTTTCCTAACCTTTGATAAGTTCATTTCTCTTATTCTCCAATAACTCAAAGGCCCTCTCAAAATAAAGAATAATAGCAAATGTATTAAATAGCCTGTCAAATGTAATATTCAGAGTGAAGCTATTAACTTACCTGGACACCAGGAAGATGAAAGAGTAGAGAGGGATGCTCTAAAAGCTGGCAGATCCCAAGGGATTAACTCTACAAATTTACCTAGGCTTCCAGTGGAAAACCAAAAATAGAACAGTGAAAGTGGTGCATTAGCACCAGGAGCTTTGACCCTGCAATTTTGAGGCTGTATGGAGTAATTACATTATCCTCCCAGTATAGCTACCTGTTTTCAAGTTGAATTAAATTAGTGATGGAGCTGGTTTCCATACAACACTTAATCTGAAAGTCAGTCTTTCAGAAGAGTGAGCAGAGTTGCCCTCTACTGCCCTAGAGAGCAAAACTATGGGTGGACACCACAATGAAGTGGAGTTTAGCTCTATATAAAGAATCATGTAGCAACTAAATCTGCTAACACACTGCAGCTAAATTCTGCTCCCATACAAAGTAATGAGCTCATATTCAATTAAATCACCTCAAATACATGCCACAAACCATGGCAGGCACCATGACTATTGTGTTATAATAAGAAATATAGGGGCACCCGGGTGGCTCAGCCAGCTAAGCATCCTCTTGATTTCGTGACTCTTGATTTCGGCTCAGGTTGTGACCTAACAGTTGTGATACTGACCACTGCACTGTGCTCCATGCTGGGTGTGGAGCTTGCTTAAATTCTCTCTCTCCCTCTCCATCTCCCACTCCCCTCCCCCCACTTGCATGTGTGCACACATACATGTGTACACTCTCTCAAAAAAGAGAAGAGAAGAGAAGAGAAGAGAAGAGAAAAGAAAAAAGAAAAGAAAAGAAAAGAAAAGAAAAGAAAAGAAAAGAAAAAATATATTTGGTCTTCATTCCAGTTTCTAGAACAGAAATCCTAAAACTCTTGGAATTTCCTGAAAGACAGGAAAGAAATGTCATTTTGTTATTAATAACAAATGTTTCAACCAAATCGGAGTTTATGCTAATGAAGTGACCTTGGAGGGCCTCTAGAGGTTTCAGGGTGGGGTCTGGTTGCCAGAGTTTGACCATATGA